TTTTTTTTTAAAGGAAAAAGAAAAATGACTCTAGCGCTTTTCATCTGTATCTAGGGTTTTGTGTGAAAAATCTGTTCTCTTTTTATATAATTCCACTTAATAACTTAATCATGTATTTGGGACCCATATCAGTAAGTGACCGGATAGTCCTGGAGAAGATAGTAATTCCCTTTTCTTCACTGCTTTTTCTGGTTAGCTCTATCAATTCCTTTGTTTGTATCCCTTTTCAAGCACTGAAATAATTACTTCCAATAGTCATGTCTTCAAGGTTATATTTCATTTGGTAACTTTTGAGGACAGAATATATCACAGGGAGTTTTCAAAGAAATAAAACCAATGTAAGAAGTGCACCCCACAAATTCATGGTCTAGGAAAGCTTTTTGTTTCTTTTGATTCTATTTCTTGCAGAGCAAGTTCATGGATCGTGGAAGATGAGTTCATTTTATTTTCATATCAAATGCCAGCGTCGTTATCATGTCATTGGAAAAATGTTTATTTGCATTCAATTTCTTGGAGGGCAAGTTCCTGGATGGTGAAAGATGAGTTTAAAAGTTGCCAGCATCATTATCATGTCATTGGAAAAATATGTCATTGGAAAAATATCCTATGTCTTTGAGAGACTCTTAGTCACATTTGATGTCTGCTACTAGGCAATGTTTATCTGAAATAGCTTAGAAAAGTCACGCTTTCTTTGTCATGTAATGGTGCTTGCCTTTTTTTATTTTTTATTTATTTTTATTTTTTAATGGGAAGTGGTCTTGGTATTGTGGAAACTGACAAACATTTTTTATATTAACAGTGCCCACCCAAGTGAAACCTGTCCAAGTTAGTGAAAGTTATTACTATTAACAAAACTTTATCTTTAACGAAGATGCTAGAGCTAGTGGCCGAAGTTTGTTTAATGGTTTAGCTAGGTTGGATGCTCTTTATCAATTAATTCTGCTAACTCTTCTGAGATTGAAGGACTCATACTCTTTCATACTCTCACCTATGCTATCCTGATCTTCGTAAAAACTGTTGTATGGAACTGTTGAAGTAAATCATGGATACCTTTGCTAGTGAAACCCATACTAATTACATTTTTTTTGGAGAAGGGTCTGATAGAAGTTAGTTTTGAAGAAATAGTAGGCTGCACTTGAATGTATGAACCTACCCTGAACTGCTAATAAAGAATTGAACTGAAATCTCAGAAATTAAATCACGAAGTTATTGACTTTGTGAGTTGTGTGGGATGGATTTTTTCTTCTAACCAAGTGGTTGTTGTGGTCTGTTCACAATAAACAGCTAGGACTGTCTTCTGCACTGGAAACCCTATGTGGACAAGCTTATGGAGCTCAGCAGTACCAGAAACTAGGGACTCATACATTTACTTCCATATTCTGTCTAATATTAGTTTGTATCCCTCTATCCTTCCTCTGGATCTACATGGGAAAGCTACTTGAGTTCGTTGGTCAAGATCCCTTAATTTCATTTGAAGCTGGAAAATTCATGAGATGGCTTATTCCGGCACTATTTGCTTATGCAACTATTCAGCCACTGATTCGATATTTTCAGACACAAAGTTTAGTCACTCCCATGATCATAAGCTCTTTTGCCTGTCTTTTAGTCTATATACCCCTCTGTTGGGTTTTGGTATTCAAATCTGGACTAGGTAACATTGGAGCAGCAGTATCAATAGGCATTGCATATTGGTTAAATGTCCTCTTCCTTGGACTATACATGGCATACTCTCCCTCCTGTGCAAAAACTCGTGTCCCAATCACTATGAAATCAATCCAAGGAGTTCGAGAGTTCTTCCACTTTGCCATCCCTTCTGCACTGATGACTTGGTATGTTATGTCCTCTTTTTCTCACTTCTTGAAGAGATTTACATGCTTTTTGGAGACTTCATAATCCTTTTAGTGTTTCCGATGCTCTGATATTTGCAGCCTTGAATGGTGGTCCTTTGAGCTGCTTGTTTTGTTCTCTGGGCTTTTACCTAATCCAGAGCTTGAAACATCTGTCCTATCTGTATGGTATGTTCTCTGTTGTCTTCTGCTTCAAAACATTGTGTCTTTAGAGATTGTTAATTTGAAATAATATTGCAATTTAATTTCATCACAATCATCTTATAAACATCTTTTGAAATAGCGTTTATTCCTCATGCTGAACTTAATTATTCTAATTGGTTTCAATTTTTCAACTTTCCTGAGCAGTCTCACCACTATTTCAACACTTTATGCGATACCATATGGACTTGGTGCCGCGGCAAGGTTTGATCTCATATTCATGTTTGTTTTGCACCACATTTACTGGTATTTAGTGTTTTGTTGATTTTTGACAATTTCTCTGAAAAAGCTAATATTTTCTTTGATATAGCACTAGAGTTTCAAATGAACTAGGAGCTGGGAATCCACGAGCAGCACGCATGGCTGTCTACACTGCAATGTTTCTTGCAGTTTCAGAGACCATTATAGTTAGTGGAACCCTTTTTGCTAGCCGACGTGTATTTGGTTACATTTACAGCAATGAGAAGGAAGTTGTTGATTATGTCACAGCCATGGCCCCTCTGGTTTGTATCTCAGTTATTCTGGACAGCCTTCAGGGAGTCCTTTCAGGTTAACTTTATACTCTTTCTCAATGAATTGTTTGTTTCTCTTCAAGGTATGAATTTCTTTTCTTACTCTTACCCCATGTTCTTTGTATTAGGTGTTGCAAGGGGATGTGGATGGCAGCATATTGGAGCTTATATCAATCTGGGAGCATTTTATCTTTGTGGAATTCCGGTTGCTGCGTTACTTGGTTTCTGGGTGAAGTTAAGAGGAATGGGCCTTTGGATTGGGATACAATCTGGTGCTTTTACACAAACTGTCTTGCTCTCCATTGTTACTGGTTGTATAAACTGGGAAAAGCAGGTCTGTCATGCATTCTCAATCCTCTTAAAAACTTTCTTATTGTCCAAAACTGGTTTTTTTTTTTTTTTTATCCTCTCAGGTTTCATTCCTTTTTGCCTCTCATGACTCTCAACTAGTGAGAGCTTTCAACTCTTAAATCTAAATTAAAAATCTCAAGTTTAAACATTAAAGCGTGTAACTAAAGATTT